AGAGATGAAAGGCAGATTGGAGCAGTGGAAGTTTATGGAGTGTTTGCGGAAGATATTATGCTGCAAGATATTATGCTGCAATAATTCGGGTTATTGCAGCAATTTTGAAAGAGGTAGAAACAGTTCCAGTGGTAAGAGAGGAGTAGATGATGGCAGAAATGAGAGTGACAAGAGAAGGGAGGCAAGCTTTAACTAAATCTGTGGGGAGGGGATCCAGCTGACAGGAGGAGGGCTTAGACTTGTAGATGAGATCGGAGATTTCTGAGGTGGAGGGAAGCAGAAAGGAGGAAAAAGAGTGGGTAGAAGGGGGGAGTTCAGATGTAGTATCAGAGGTGGGTTCTGGACTAGGATAATTTTCTGGATCTTTTCATCAAAAAATGCCATGAGGGAGTTACAGAATACAGTTGAGTACAGATGAGATGGTAGAGAGTCTGGGGCTTGGACAATTTTCTTGTACAGTGAGTATAGTGATTTGGTGTTACCTTCATGTGAACAGATTAAACCAGTGTAGTGATTGGATTTTGTTTGGGTGATGCAGTCCTTGTAGTGCAGCATGTGATTCTTGTAAATGTCTTTGTGAATAGTTAATCCAGATTTGCGTTGGAGCTGTTCAAGTTGTCGGCCTTTGGCTTTCATGAGTCGAAGTTCAGGCATAAAACAAGGGGGCAGAACGGGAGAAGGAACAGAGAAAAGAATGTGTGGATGTTTAATTGTAATTCTCTTCATCAGTCAGAAGGAAACAGTGTTTGTGTGATTCAATGTGTGAGAAATAAACTAACAAATCTGTGGGTGAATTCATATCAACACAGACTGTGATCAAAGCTGTGATTGTGTCATAAAGTCATCAACACAGTGTGACTGGACCAGTTCAGCCGGGGTAGAGGGAAGTTTCCTGCCCCCTCTACCTGTGACAACTTCCAGGTAGGGGGGAGGAAGGACACCGACATTCAAATGCATCAATAAAATACCCATAAATGGATTGGGGGGGCGGGCAATATTGAATGGTGATGAGAATTATTCTCTAGATTTATGCAGGATGAGAAGTCTTTGGTAAGAGGGTTATTAATATTATCCCTGTGGATGTTGAAATCTCCCAGTACTATATTGTTTGGTGAGAGGGTAGACAAATAAAGTTAAGCAAAGTCGTTTAAAAACTGGTTATTGGGTTTAGGGGGGCAGTAGACAGTTGTAATGATGGCAGGAGTACGACCATACAGTTGACACACGATGGATTCGCGGGGTTGACAGATCTAAACAAACCCCGTAGGAGTGGATTCGTTGAGTTGAGAGAAGTCGTTGGGCTGTTGCCATGTCTCGGTTAAACAGAGAAAGTCAAACTTACGGTTGATGAGGAGATCCTTGATGAGATGTCCTTTGCTCGTGAGAGAGCGGATGTTGAGC